CTTAGAAGAGCACATGGTTAGGGGCTTCTGGTTTGAGAAGTGCTGATCTATGAAAGAGCAAGATGCCAAATTAAGCTCGATGATCACACTTGGCCACAAATACCCTTGACAGTCAAAGCCTTTTATTTTAAACTAGAGGCCCGGTGCACAAAAATTTGTGCACTGGGGGGGGGGGGGTTCCTCAGCCCGGTCTGTGCCCTCTAGCAGTCTGGGACCCCTCGGGGGATGACCACCTGCTGGCTTAGGCCTGCTCCCCGGGGGATTGGGCCTAAGTTGGCAATCAGACATCCCTCTGGCAGCCCGGCAGCCCTCGGGGGGATGTTCACTTGCCAGCGGGGGAGCAGACCTAAGCTGCAGTCGGACATCCTTAGCGCTGCTGAGGAGGCAGGAGAGGCTCCCACCACCACCGCTGTACTGGCAGCCATCAGCCTGGCTTGTGGCTGAGCAGAGCTCCCCCATGTGGGAGCTCACTGCACTGACCACCAGGGGGAAGCTTCCTGCATTGAGCGTCTGCCCCCTGGTGGTCAGTGTGTGTCATAGTGACCAGTCATTCCCAGTCTTTCTGCTTTAGGGTCAGTTTGCATATTACCCTGTTATTATATAGGATAGAGGCCTGGTGCACAGGTGGGGGCTGGCTGGTTTGCCCTGAAGGGTGTCCCAGATCAGGGTGGGGGGTCCCACTTGGGTGCCTGGCCAGCCTGGGTGAGGGGCTGATGGCTGTTTGCAGCTGGTCACACCCCCTTCAGGGTGGGGGTCCCCACTGGGGTGCCTGGCCAGCCTGGATGAGGTGCTGAGGGCTGTTTTCAGGCTGGCCAAGCCGGCGACTAAAGCTCCCAGCCTCTCCTTTTTTCCTTTTTTTTTTTATTCTGGGATTTATTTACCTTCTATAATTGAAACTTTGTTGCCGCTCCAGCTCTGAGGCCACGGCCTGCTGAAAGCAGGTATCTGGGGTTTGTTTAGCTTCTATAATTGCAACTTTGTTGCTTTCTGAGCTCAGAGCCGGGCTGCAGAAGGGAGGAAGCTTGGCTTCCTCCATCACTGGAGTAAGCAAGCCTCCTGCTCGCTGCAGCTGCGTGGCTGCCGGCCGCCATCTTGGTTGGGTTAATTTGCATATCTCGCTGATTTGCCATGGGAAGCGTAGCGGAGGTACGGTTAATTTCAATCTTTGTCTATTATTAGATAGGATACTGCACACAATATTCATTACAAAATATTTGTATGTGTATTTTCATTTATATATGTATTTGTATTTTTCCCACCTCTTAACTCAGTCCCTCTAAAATAGCCAAATATTCCTCTTTAAACAGCTCTGAGGGATCAAGAAAAGACTAGATGAAAGCATGAGTCACTTCAAATTAAGTTGTATACAAACTTACCGATACATCTTTAACTGGTGTTTTAGGTGGTCCTGTAATTTGTTCCTTGATAAAGGTAATATCTTCTTCAGGGATGAGACCATAGTATTCCATGATGGGTTTGAGATCATTAGAATTAATGAGGTGCTCAAACATATCAACTGAGCCCTGTTCATGCTAGGAAAAGTCAGCATATGGTCTGTTATAGATTCTAGACCAATAGGGACCCCAGATTATCCAAAGTACTCTTGATTTCAGGTAATTCAGAGATAAGAATCTACTGAATGTTCATTATCTAGTTTCCAACTACAGTCTTACAGATTTTTTTTGTTAATCCTCACCCAATTTTTTAAAAAATATATATTTTTTTATTGATTTCAGAGAGGAAGGGAGAGGGACAGAGAGATAGAAACATCAATGATGAGAGAGAATCATCAATCGGCTGCTTCCTGCAAGCCATGAGTCCACAACCAGGAAACAACTGTGTCCTGCTTCATAAGTCAATGCACAACCACTGAGACACAACGGCCAGGCAACCCTCAACCAATTTTTCCACTGATTTTTAGAGAGAGTGGAAGGAAGGGATGGAGGGGGAAAGAGAGAGAAACATTGATGTGAGAGAGACACACAGATTGGATGCCTCCAGAATGCAGCCCAAACGGGGCCAGGATTGAACCTGCAAATCCCTAATTATAAAATAGATGATTTAATATATATGATGAGTTCTGGCTGGGTAGCGCAGTTGGTTAGAGCATCTCCTGGTATACCAAGGTTATGGGTTTGATCCCTGGTCAGAGCATATACAAGAATCAACCAATGAATGCATAAATAAGTGGAACAACAAATTGGTTACTCTTCTCTCTCTCTCTCTCTTAAAAAAAAAAAATATGTATATGTATGTGTGTGTGTGTGTGTGTGTATGTGTGTGTGTGTGTGTGTGTGTGTGTGTGTGTGTATATATATATATATATATATATATATATATATATCTTTGACTAAATTTGGCTACCATCAGTTACTTCATGGCCATACAAAATGAATGAAAACCAGAGTTGGCCTTTTTTTATTTTACAGTAGTATGATGGAATAGAAAAAGCATTAAATTAGCACCTAGGAAATATAAGGTTTTCTACTGCTGGCTCTACCAGTTAATAGGTTTTTGAATTTTGGTATATCAATACACCTCTGCGTTTCAAGTTCCTTTACACTTGTGAAAATGGAACTAATCATTCCTTCTTTACAGACTGTGAGAATCAAATAAAAACATAGATATAAAAGCATCCTGAAAACTGTAATGGGGAAGGAAGTATACTATAACACAATAATGGCTGCTTAAATAGTCATTATTTTATTGACTATTGAATATGTGAATACATACCTTCCATTTCACTCCTTGGCGAGCAAGTGGAATAAATCTTCCATCAAACATATGAGAAAATGGCCCATGACCTTAAAAACAAAAGCAGCCTTAGAACAAGAAAAATGTAAAAACTGAGTCGATTTTTTTAAATCGTTTTAGTTTTACCTTGAATATCAACAGAAATCAATAATCTACAAATACATCACAAATAGGGATAAATCCTTTCTTCCTATTTTCTAAAAACAAGAGAACAGGAAGCAGAACCATATGGGAAAGTAAGCTCTTTTTCCTTTTAATATATATTTATGGATTTTAGAGAGGAAGGGAGAGGGAGAGAGAGACAGAAACATTAATGATGAGAGAGAATCATTGATTGGCTGCCTCCTGCACGCCCCCTTACTGGGGATTGAGCCCCGAAACCCAGGCATGTGCCCTTGACTGGAATTGAACTCAGGACCTTTTAGTCCACAGGCTGACGCTCTATCCACTGAGCCAAACTAGCTAGAGCAGAAAGTAAGCTCTTTATAGAGGGGTCTCTGAGTCACCAGAACTCGCATAACTGGTGAAAAGACAGTTTTATGTAACTTAAAGGAATGTTAATGGCAAAAAACTTTTGGCAACTGCAGGTTGAATATCTGCATTAAAATAGCAGTTATTTTAAGACAATCCACTGGGATGCAGGAATAAAATATCAAAACTTTATTTTATTATGCTCATCCTTTAAAACATCTATTTTTATGTAAATTCTATAATGCAGATAATATATTCAGAATAAATATACACACGTTGAGGTTGTTTCCTGGGTTTTTACCAATAATATGAACCATCAAAGTGGAAATCACAAGTTTATCTTAATCATAAGTGATTTTAACATTTCATAACATTTACTAATATGAAATTTGGTTGAAGTGAAACCAAATTCTGGAATTATCAGAATTTCTGTAGAAGTGAATTACTCTGCTGGAGAGGGAACCCACCTGGACCAGGCCTGGGCCCTTTTGCATGTCACCCATAAAGACCTATTACTGTAGTACTCAAACTTCTGGGGACTGGCAAAGATTTCCCAATGATTCCCTCTTAAAATACCAGGAATCTATCAAATTTAATCCTATTGACATCTCCAAGGGGACATGGTGAAGAGAGTGTCCTATCCCTTTAAGTATCTGTATATTGCCTAGCCAGTGTGGCTCAGTGGTTGATCGATAAACCAGGAGGTCACGGTTTGATTCCTGGTCAGAGCACATTCCCAGGTTGTGGGCTCGATCCCTGGTGGGGTGTGGGGGTATGCAGAAGGCAGCCAATCAATGATTTTTCTCTCATCACTGATGTGTCTACCTCTCTCTTCTTCTCTGAAATCAATAAAAGAATATTTTTTAAACATTAAAAAAGAAAAGTATCACTACTGAAACAGACACCTCCCCTTTCCTGCCCTAAGGGCACACACAAATTCTCAGGGTAGGACTAAACTACAAGGATGGGGCAAAACTCCTGTGATAAAAGAATACAGTCTTGCCCTAGCCAGTTTGGCTCAATGGATAGAGTGTAGGCCTGCGGACTGAAGGGACCAGTCAAGGACACATGCCTGGGTTGCAGGATCCATCCCCAGTGGGGGGTATGCAGGAGGCAACAATCAATGATTCTCTCTCATCATTGATGTTTTTATCTCTCTGTCCCTCTCCCTTTCTCTCTGAAATCAATAAAAATATATTTAAAATATATATATATAAAAAAAAGAATACAGTCTCTTTTCTCTTTCTGTGTCAAAGGAAAAGGATAGTAATCTTTTACTTGGATTTAAGTGATTCAAGACATCAGATGGGTGAGGGAAGAGAAGGAGTTCTCTTAATCTTCTAGGGCAGATTATGTAGTCTAGGAATGAGAAAAATGGATCGACAAAGTAACTGAAGGTAAAATGGCAATTTTATTCAACAAGAAGGATAAAAGAAAAATCAAATTCACATCATCTTAAACAGAGTAGCTAGAAAAACCTCACTATCAGAAAGTCCTTTCTTATAACCTGTAGCAACGATGTTTGACATGGGAAATTCACTGAAAAGCTACAAAAAAATGAAATAGCAACCCCTTGGCTTTATGGATGATTCTAGGAAGATGCAGTGGCACATTTATATTAATGTTAACTGAAGAATTAAAACACAATTTTCATATTTCTCTTGGTTAGTTGGATTTTTTATTTTCAAAGATGTTATAGTTTTTCATAACAGCCTTGGCTTTTTGTATAGCTTACCGAGATCATGACAAAGCCCAGCAATCTGAACACATAGCATATCTCGTTCACTTATCTGCAGCTCTGGTTGTTTTTCACTCAGTTCTCGAACTAGACATCCTGCTAGATATCCTACACTGCAGAGCAAAAAATACAAAACAAAACAAAGAAATCACTCTTTAGTTTTGAAGATACAAGTGATATTTTGGCCCTGAAGAACTTTAATGTTTCTCAAATGTTGTCATATATCTCTAAGGCAACTTAACAGAATAGTGTGTTTCGGAACTTGATAGGAACACACAAACAAAATCCCCAAAGCAGGACCTCTTGGCTCAGCATCACTAATCATTAGGAAAATGCAAAATCAAAACCACAATGAAACAATGCCTCACACCCATTAGAATGGCTATTATTCAAAAACAAAACAAAAAAACACAAAATAATTAATAACAAGTGTTAGCCTGGATGTGGAGAAATTGGAACCCTTGTACACTGTTAATGGAAATGTATAATAATGCAGGCACTAGGGTGGTTCCTCAAAAAATGAAAACTAGTCCAGCCGGTGTGCCTCAGTGGTTGAGTGTCAAAGAACCAGGAGGTCACGGTTCGATTCCCAGTCAGGGCACATGCCTGGGTTATGGGCTCAGTCCCCAGGGTGGGGCATGCAAGAGGCAGCCGATCAGTGATTCTCTCTCCTCACTGATGTTTCTCTCTCTCTCTCCTTCTCCCTTCCTCTCTGAAATCAATAAAAACATATTTTTTAAAAATTTACAACTAAAATTACCATATGATTCAACAACTCCAATTCTGTGTATATATCCAAAACAATTGAAATCATGTTCCTAGCAGCACTGTTCTCAATTGCCAAAGAGGTAGAAACAACTCAGTGTCCACCACTGAATGAAGGGATAAACAAAATGTAATAGATACATACATTGGAATATTAGTCACTCTTAAAAAGAAAATTCTGACATATGCTCCAACATGGAGGAACCTTGAGGAAATTATACAAAGTGAAACAGCCAGTCACAAAAAAGACAAATATTGTATGATATCACTTATATGAGGTACCTAGAATAGTCCAATTCATAGAAACAGAAAGTAGAAAGGTGGTTGCCAGGGGCTGGGGAGAGGGAGGACTTCTACTTTGTAATGTTTACAACACAGATTGAAGAGATAAAATGCCTAACAAATATTAAATGCACTTTTAGCACTTCCCTCTGAAAGTAATTTCTGAATGAATACAGTACCTTTCTTCTCTAAATGTTGAGCCCCATGAGGTTAGAGAGAATTGCTATCTTGTTGATTTGGTAGGGCCTAGCAAGTTTTCAATAAATATTTGTTGATGAATGAACATCTGAGTAGATACATGTGTTCTGGATAATTAAAAATGCTTCCAATCCATGAATCTCTCTCATCACTGATGTTTCTCTCTCTCTCTCCCCTCTCCCTTTTCTCTGAAATCAATAAATATATATATATTAAAAGTAATACTATGAGTTCTTAAAAGAAAATATGGAAAATTGTCTAGTTCTTCCCTGTTTATGTCCTCCTGGCTCTACTTATTTTAAAAATTCATCTTTATTGTTCAGAGATTAAAAATGGTGGCAGAGTAGGTCGATGCTGCATGGACACACTCCCAGGACCAAACTGGAATTACAACTATCTTTATTGTTGAAAGTATTAGATACCCCCCTTCCCACCCCTACCCCCCAGCATCCTGCCCCAGGCCTTCACCACTCTATTGTCTGTGTCCATCCTATCTAATAATGGACAAGCATGGTAATTGACCGCACCTTCGCTATGCCTCCCATTGGCTAATCAGCGTGATATGCAAATTAACCACCAACAAAGATGGTGGCTAATTTGCATACTGCAGGCAGGGCGGGTCAGCGCCATCCCGCCTGCCCCGCCACCATCCAGGCCTGCTATTTGCCACCTGGGGTGGTGGGGTGGGACAGCGCCATCCCCCCCTGCTATCTGTGACCGGGGCGGCAGGCTGTC